AAAATCATAACTAAAACACTGAACTAATAAAAATTTTATAAAATGTAAATTACACTTTGCAGTATATAGATCAGCATACAACACCAAAGACGAACATCCAAAGACAAAAATGACCCCACTACACTCAAAAAAAGAATGGCCAACCACAACCGATATGCCGTCCACAATCACAACTCAAAGGATTTAGAGTACGACTTGACTTCGCAGAAAAGGGCTTCATTGAACTAGACCAATGACCACCTCGATGTTCAAGTATACGTACAGATCCGAGTAACCAGGCATCCCCTCCACGCACAATCTCCACGCCATTCCCAGACGAGGTTGAACACAAAAGAAGTTCTCTACATGAAACAGAAAAACCTGTCATAGCAAACCATTCTGAAATCAGATTTGAGTTTGTTGAGAAAACCCAGTCGTTGTCATAAGAAGACACAACGATTGATCCTGGAACTTCTCTAACAGGAGAACCCAGAAGAAATATGATGTTCGCCAAATACCAACGTCCATCATCCATCCTTTGAATTGCAGAAAAACTATTCTAAAAAACTCTGTAAAACCCGGATGGGTGGAACCTGATCTAAACTACATTTTATGAATGGATAAATTAGATATTTTACCACTGTAAAGTATTTAATATTAACCAATCATGATCCATCTAACTAACAACCCACTTATTTGTAAGTGCTGAGATTACTTGTAATTTCAGCACCAGAGACATTTGAATTTAACTTAGAAATTAGTTGCCTCTCCAAGAGAACTTCAGCAGCCGCAATAAACCAGTATACCCTAGATCTATTGAGCCTAGCAGAGACTAGTTAAACAACCTGAGACTAGATAGTATAAGAGTAAGATTAGGATCGGTATTAGACTAAGAAGTTGCACGAATCTATCCGGCCGAAAATAAGATAGCGTGACGAGCAGACGGTGTACCCTATCCGAAATTACTCTATGAGTTAAGACCATCGGTTATAACTCAATAAGCCAAAAAACATCACAACATTTTTTTCTCAATATTCGAGCTTAACAGAACAAACGTTATCCTCAGAGGTCAAATGTTTTTCAAGCGGTAAATATAGTGGCCACTTTTATCCTCTATTTACTTGTCTTGAAACAAAAAGGATACAAACAAATGTTGCATAGGGTCCTTTCCATTTAGCGATTTAGTGATTTTGAAATGAACAAAAACAAAATCATAACTCAGACTTTCAAATAGAAAAATTACTAAGAACGGATTTCAGAATTTTTTTTCTGTTCACTCCTTTTATTTACTTCTCTAAATCGTTATATCTTTTGCTGTCCAAAATTTGAGAGCGTGAAAATGAATGGACAATTGCTCGAGGCCGTTTTTTTAATGCAAAAAGTTCTAAATGTTAGAAAGTTTTTCCAGCCATTCAGAACATAGTATTCGAAAACTCAACGAAATTGCAAAATTTTCAAAGTGAGCAAAAAATTTCAACGCAAATTCGTTGCATTACCAATTTCCGACTAGAAAAATTGATATTCTAATTTAACTTTCAGGACTGAAATGTTTCATGAAATATTTTAATAAATCATAGATTTTTTTTCAATCTTAATTTATAATCTAACTTCTGATTAGTAATCAGCTAAGCCGAGACTGTTTTCAGGAGAAAAAATCTGCTTGTCGTCTTGATTACCCTCGCGTTAGCTAGACAAGAACCTAATAGCTAGGCTATATGACCTGGGGATTACTAAAAAAAAAGTTTTACTTGGCTTTGTATTGCTACGACTATCGTTTATGCTCAAAAAAGACAGAATCAACTTTATCTCGATAAGAGCGGATTTTTACTTATTTTTTCTAAAAATGTTTAATTTTAAAGTAAGATGAAAAATTGAAAGGTTCTGTAGAGAAAACAGAAAAATGTTGCTTAAATTAACTCGAGAAAGTTTCTGTTCAGTTTAGAAGCCTTTAAAACTGACCGATCAGAAAATAAGCATCGGGAAATTTTATTGCTCAGTGGACACCAATTATTAAAAACTGGCGTAATATAACGTACCTTTTGCTCTATAGGAAGATGAATTGTACAGCAAAACTCCGTTTGTTTCAGTTATAGTTCATTTTCTGCAAAATTTGACAAGTTTTTTGGGCAAACACTATAAAGCGAATAAGACAGCCAAACGGCTCCGAATAATTAAAAAACACGTTGAAAAAAAACATGAATGAAATTATTTTTGTTTTGCCTGCCGCATAAAAAATTTCTACTTTTTTCGTATTATTATCAATTTTTATCAACAGGGGCGGATCAATAATTTTTTCGAAGTGGAAGGCGGATTTTCAAAAAAAAAACTCAAAAATTTTGTCGCTGTTTTTATCTCGACCTTATCAATTTCTGAGCTTAAATTTTTGACAAAACAGGCAAAAAATAGAGGTTTTTAGGCAGGGGCGGATTTAGGGGAGAGGCGGATGCCCCCCCTTCCTCCTCAGGGATTCGAACCCCTGCCGACCCAAAGGGTCCCCCCTTTGGTATTTTTTAAGAAATAGATTTTTGGCCGATTGACCCTAAAATTTTTCTAAAGGCGCCTTTGGCGCCAATATATACTTACTTTGAGGGGAGCGCGCAACAAAAACGCATTTTTTTGGTCAAACTTTTCCAAAAAGGGCCGAAAAACGCCTTTTTTGGCCTGATTTTCAAGCATTTCACCAAAACAGGGTCTTTTTAGTGCTTTAGGAGAGCTCGGAAAATCAATTTGGTCGAGCTAAGAAAAAAAAAGGCCGACAAAATTTTCGAATTTTTTTTTGCAAATCCGCCCTGCCTTCAAAGAAAATCCTAGATCCGCCCCTGTTTTTAGGCATTTTTTTGGAAATTTGAACCAAAAAATAGCGTTTTTTTTTGGCGCGCGCTCCCCCTCAATTTAGTATATTTTGGCGCCTTTAGATAAAATAGTATATTTTGACGGTCCCCCCCCCCCTAAATCCGCTGGTGTTCCATTCTCATGTTTAGGGAGCCTGCCTAAAGCAAAAAAAAACAAAGCCTAAATAAAAGTAAAACTGTTCCGTTCTTCTACAAAAAACAAACTGACAGCCTATAACTTGAAATTATAAAATTTCAGTTGAACCTTTAATTTAAACAATGAATTTTTACTTTAAAAATTATTGTAGAATTAAGCCCGCTAATTCCAAACCTTTTTCTTTTTTGCCTTTTCCTTTTTGCCTTCAAAAATTTGGGCTTTTTCTGCATAACTTGCAATTCAATTTAAGAGAACTGTTTTTGATCTTTTGATAGTTTTGTGGCTGCAAGAAAATTATTTTTGGCCAGAAATTATTCTTCAGAATTAAAGCGATCGCGATCATTCCACTAAATCTCTGCAATCTTTTTACAAGAAAAAGGATGATATTCGTAAGTAGATAACTAAGCAAATAATTCTTTTTTTTTGTTCCGGCTTTCGATACGAAAGTAACGGAATATTTGTGCTCGGGGTGGGTTTTTTTCTTCAGACAAATGTCGACTTTTTAACTAGCCATATTCAACGGAATTTTTAAAATATCATTCAAAGAGTATTGTTGTCCTGAGTTTAAATTTGAAAAATTATTCACCTGTGATCTTTTTTTGTAAAATTATGGAGGTTTAAAGTTTGCCATTTAATCCGTCTTAGAAATCGTTCAAAATTGGTTTGGAGAACCTTATTTGCCATAATTGATTTGTTACTAGGAGCGAAATCTATCACTTTGTACTTTATATGGCGTGTGGGGGAATGAATTTCATAAAAAGTTTCAATTTTTAGGGGAAAAAAATTCATTTCATTTTATTAAATTTAATGTGTTAATGACATTTATGTAATTACTGCTCCATAGATCTTAAAAGGCAGTCGGAACCTTCAGGGCTTCGCCCTGATAAGAGCAGTCTTGTTTTTGATGACTTTAAAAAAAACCCTGGGTTGAACGACAACAGGTACTGTTTTAGATAAGAGGGAGAGGGAAGAAATGTTTAGATGATACGTTTGAGGATTTATCCGTGAACAAAAAATAGGAACAAAAAAAAACATTTTGTTTCTATCATTTAAAGATAGGTTAAATTTGCTTCCCGACGTCGAAAAAATTGGAGTACTGGGAATACGTTTAGAAAATGACTGAGGGTAAGCAATTTACCAGATATTTATCTAATTTATACAAAGAAAAAAAGGCCTTCTCTCAGGTTCATCATCAACTATCTGATTTTACTTTCATTGCACCAGCCCCGTACCCTCTACCTCATACGCAATTTTTCATTTTTTTTGTCGACATTGAAACCTGAAACCTATCGGAAAAGTAAGCTTTTGCATGCAAATTTTTCCGAAATCGCCCTCGTTGAAACTTTTGCCATTTGTTTCCATAAGCAGGGACTGAATGTGCCCAGTTTTTAGTACGATCGGTCCCCAAGTTATCACGCAAAAAGATGAACACAGTAAGGCACAATTACGAGCCTAATTTTTAGAAAATTGGGCTCATTCAACCTTTTTCATGGCAAATCGGGGACCAATGTGCTAAACATTGGGATCAGTCCCTTTTCATGGTTACTTGGAGCCCATTTCGACAAAAGCTTTACAAAATTGGGCTCATTTATCCCCTTCCATGCCAATATGGAGCAAAATTGGGGACAAACTTTTAAAAAATTGGGCTTATTACCCACCCTTAATGGAAAAAACAGGACCAAAAAAAGAAGCCAAATTTTAGTATGCTTAGTCCTAGAATTATCTGATTTTAATTATCTGAGTTGCTAGCCGATGGCTCTATTTAAATCAAACTGGCTAAAAATTTGGCTCATTCAGCTTCTTTTGCCAAACAAATTGGGCCGATTCAGCTCATGTTTCTGATAATTGGGTTGATTAATTAAACTACCAATGTATAGTTGGGCTCATTCAGATCCATGTGTTAAAAAATGGGCTCCTTCAATTCGTTTCTCTAAAAATTGGGCTCATTAAACATTCCTTCATAGAAAGAAATTGTTTTTTTTTTAAATTAGTGTTGTATGCTCGAATAAGTTGCTACTCTTTGTAAATCTCACGTTTCCTGCTGGCTCGCGGGAACAGCCAGATGAGGCTCCTGCTGCTGACTTGGGTTCCCTTCTGGTGTGACCAAGCAGTCCTGACTACTTTTGCCCTCGTTATCGCCGCCATGCAGGTCCGAGATTGAACTCGAATTCGAAGAGGTTGATTCTTCGTCTGACTGCGACGAAAATAGCCCTGAAACGAAAAAAAAAAACAACTTGGTCGCAAGCAGAGGTGCGGATATAGGATTTTCTCGAAGGGAGGGGGGACGAAGGCGCCTTTGGAAAAAATTTAAGGTCAGCCACAAATCTCCAAATACTACTGAGGGGAACTCTTGGGGTCAACAGGTGGTCAAACTACTGAGGGGGGGGGGCAAATTTGGTCTGGATATAAATTAGCGAAAGTCAAGTATCCCGGGACAAATATGGACAACTATTTGTTTTGACTTTCGCGACTAAAAATCGAAATGTTTTGGCAGTCTCTACCAAATATCAGTATGTTTCGACTTTCTCGACTAACGTTCTCAAATGTTTCAACCAACATTTTTGTAAAATTTATTCGTCTAACCCGGTATAGAAAGTTTCAAAGATTATTAGTCACATCTCAGATTTTTTTCAACCGTCGTGACTATTTTTGGTTTGTGTAAGGATAATCTCAAACATCTAAATCTTAAAAGTTTGAATGTGTTAATGCATGTATGCGGTATGATTGTATGTATCTATGTACATATGTATATGGCGGCTCTGGCAAACTTCAGATTGAAACTCAATTATTTTTATTCTACAGATAATTTACTGTATAGAAATCGATTTCCGATAACCCATTTAGATTCTTAAATCAAATTAGAATGAATAAAAAAAAGAATAAATTCTTTTCCGATAGCCCATTTAGATACAAAAAATTTCTTGCTAAAAATGGATTTTTTTGCAACTTAGTGAAAATCATCAAAATCTCAACATCTGATTTAATATGATTTTTTTGCTGCAAAGGTTGAGCAAACTTTTTTTTACCTCGCGGAGAGCTGCAGAGTGCAAGAGTCACTCGAGGAAAAGTTTGTACCGCACACTTTTGCGTTAAGGAGAATTCCTCTCAAATTGAGCAAAACTAGGGGCGGATTTAAAAAAAAATGTGTCGACTTTTTTTTAGGTCAACTAAATTTATTTTTGAATCTTTTCGTGGCAAATAATATAGATATTACTTTTCCTCAAAGCTTTCAGGCAATACTTCAAAACGAAAAATCAAATGAAAAGCATATTTAAAAATTTTGTTTCCACTATTTCTCTATTGTTTCTCTATAATATAGAACTGTTCTATATTATAGAGAAACAATAGAGAAATAGTGAGAACAAAATTTTTATTATATGCTTATCAAGTGATTTTTCGTGTTGATGTTTGGCCTGAAAGTTATGAAGAAAAGTAATAACTAAATTATTCGCCGCCAAAGGATTTTAGTTTTGATTTTTTCGGTCGAAATTTTCCAAAAAGTGAATAAAAACGCTTTTTTGGCCTGTTTTTCACAAATTTGCAGAAAATGTTGTCAAATTAGGGTCCTTATAGTGACTTGGGAGGGCTAAAAAAATCAATTTATTTGACCTAAAAAAGGATCGACAAAATTTTGTTGAAAATCCACCCCATCGAGAAATTCCTACTGGTTATACATGATCCCTGGTCGATGGAGTTGCTCTTAAAAACGATAAGTTATCAAAACCCTGAGTGTAGGTTGCCAATAACGAAGCACTGAAATTAAATGGATGTTTTATACAGTCGGCTTGAAATTGTTGGCCTAATGAAAAAACATTCATTTAATTTGCTCTAGCTTTAGGTGCAAACAATAATTGATTTCACAAAAGTCATTTTCAAATAGGAAAAACTCATTCACGGAAACATTCTCCAATTACATTTGACCTTAATTATCCTCTGCATGATGACAATAACATTCGATAATATTTTTAAAAGTTATTGTTTGACTATTATCTGAGCAGGAGCGGATTTAGAGGGGGGGGGTACGGACGCCTCCTCCTCTCAGGGATTTGACCCCCTGCCCACCCAAAGGGTCCCCCTTTGTACTATTTTGAGATATCCATTTTTGGTGAGGGACCCTAAAAATTTTCTAAAGGCGCCTTTGGCGCCAATATATACTTCTTTTGAGGGGGGAGCGCGCGCCGAAAAAACGCCATTTTTTGGTCAAAATTGTTCAAAAAGGGGCTAAAAACACCTTTTTGGCCTGTTTTTTCAAAGTTTTCGAAAATGGTGGACCTAAAAAACCGAATTTTTTGGAAAATCGCCCCCCTCGAGAAAATCCTAGATCCGCCCCTGATAGAACATGTGAATATAATCTATACATAATTTGTATAAATTTGGTCAACACAAAAGACGTTAAAATTCGATTTAAAAGGATTTTTTTGTTACTGGGAGAAACAAATAGTGGAGAAACTATTCCAAAAGACGAAATTTTTTGATTTAAACTAAATTGATTTTTAATCGACTCAAATTGACTCATATCATTGTATGTATATATGTGTATGACGTTTGTGTGTATGATTGTATGCATCACAAGCTGATGAAAATTAAAGTTTAGACAATTTTAGAAAATAAGAAGGTTGCCAACAAAAAAGAATCACAAAGTGGTTTAAAGTCTCGTGACAATTTAGTGTTGTTAAGTTTGAATGACAACTCACGAGCGCAGCATTTGTTCGCTAGCACTCTGCACAGCTTTTCACATGAACAATCCCACACTTTCTCGGCACAAGGATGATCTGAAAAGCAAAAACGGCACAAGGATGATCTGAAAAGCAAAAATTGATCACTCAAGGAGAAAACTAACTCTAAAATCTAAGAAAACCTAAGCTTTCAATTAAATTTGATATCTTTGTACGAATTTACGGCACTAACGGTATCCGTAAAAGTCTAAAAGATGTTATCCGAGCAAAACGCCGACAAGTTAAATTTTTGCTCCTGTTTTTCGTTTTTTTTTGTAAAATTTGAACGAAAAATTTAAAGTCATCAAACTACATCCTAATGAGTGTCATATGGATCCCACTAAGCTTAGGGAGGGTTTGAGTTTGGAATGTTTATGTAGGTAGAATTGTGAATTCAGGGTGGAATTTTTCGGGGACTTTTTTGGCTTGTTTATCGAAGGTTTCCGTTCGTCATCATTTTTGCAGATATTACCTTGATACTGTATTTGGAGATCACACTATACGATATTGAAACCAGTTGAAAAGAAATAATATAATATATCCAATTATAATCATGATAACTATCCTTGTAAAATATTTAGAACTAACCAATCAAGATCCATGACTAAAACTTACAATAAATTCTAAAGCTGAAACTATTTATAGTTTCAACCAGAGAAGAACAAATTTATTTTAGCAAATGGTTGCTCTTTCTTGATTCTAACCTCGCAACAATACCAGTTGTTACTATATCTATTGAGACTAGGAAACATGAGAGTTGGATTAGGATCGGTATTAGACGAAGAAGTTGCACGAATATATCCGGCCGAAAATAAGATAACGTGACGAACAGACGCTGTATCTTATCCAAAACTACTCTATTAGAAAGCCACCCCGGACGCAAACTCATCTGGTGGAACTAAACTAGTCCCGAACAGACCTCTACTAATTTATAATTAGCAAAAACAAAGTAATATAGGCAAATTAGATCAAAAACGCTCAACAAAATGATACACCAAATTGACGATGAAATTAGCTTATTTTCACATCTCGATAAGTCTGATCAAATAAAACAGACACAAAAGCTGACACCAGGTCGCAACCAGGAC